AAATGGTGGAGTTATAGGAATTTACTTCGTTCGAACTTTTAGGACACTCTGTATATATATATGTATATATAAGGGAGTGGCCAACCGACATGAAGCCCCGTTTTGATACAATCCTATTATAAGGATAAAGCATACTATTGTCCGAGTCATATAAGAGAGGATCCTAGATTGGCCCGAACAACATCATGTTTTATCCTTACAATAGTAGAGAAAAGCTCCCAGCTTGTCGTGTGAGCTGGGGTAACTTTTCTCTACTATTGTAAGGATAAAACATGGCGTTGTTCGAGCCAATCTAGGATCCTCTCTTGTATGACCCGGGTAATAGTATACTTTATCCTTACAATCGAGTTGTATCAAAACGGGGCTTCATATTGGTTGACCACTCTCGTATATATTATTTTTTGTAATTTGATGGGCAATATGTCTAAATATATCTACATTAAAAAGTTAAGTTTGAAATTGATGAAATGAAAAATAATTGATAATAACATACATCTAGTTTGTTGATGTTAAATATAAATAATGCTTTCCTAATTTTTAAGTGCTTATCAATGCTTTTCATCGTTACCTTCCATTTCATTTCGATCGTGCAGTAATATTCAATGCTCGATTATAGATAAACATCGTTCGACAACTGCAAATAATAATATTAATATGATAAATAAAAACATTACTCATACATCATTACCAACAGTCGTTAATATCTCAAAGGATGATTCACATATAGATGAAATTGATCGTTTTCCTAATGAATGTGGTTCATCAAATATTTTATCCGATTTACCAAATTCATGTAATCTTGAAGAAAGAGATGAAAATACATTACCATTTCCAGGTTTTGTTGAAAAAGCTTTTTATTGGCTTCGACAAACAACACCACCACGTTATCAATGTTTAAAACTTATAACATGGCCATGGTTTGAACGTATAAGTATATTTGTTATTTTGCTTAATTGTATTACACTTGGTACATATGAACCATGTGTACATCATAATGGTATAGAGTCATTGAACAACTGTGATACAGCATTGTGTATTTGGCTACAAGCAACAGATTATTTTGTTTTAGCATGTTTTACAATTGAAATGTGTATTAAAATGATAGCGATGGGAATATTTGGTAAAGGAGCTTATCTTGCTGATTTATGGAATCGACTTGATTGTTTTATTGTTCTTACCGGGTATAGATCATATCAATTTTTGCTTTGAACACAAGAAAACTTTAGTTTTCTTTAACAAATTTGCTCAAAGTCTTGACGAGTTTAGCTATAAAAACCATCAGAAGTGATGAACATCTTTTATGCAGGACTTTATAAGAGTTTCTATTTATTTGAAGTCATTTGAGAGCTCTCAATGCCTGAATTTTTTCAACAATCATCAATAAGAGACATTTTGAAAGTTAATGCTGCCAAGGATTTTTTGAAGTTCTTTCTAAAATATGCTTTTAATTTCTAATTTTAATGTTTCATCTTGATACATTGAAAATAATTTTTCGAATAAAATTGATTTTTTTGAAATGAATATTTCGAATCTATTAAGAGACAATAAAGTGTAGAGATAAGAATAAGAATTTGTTAACTATTAATGTTTAGATTAGTGGAATTGTTGATACCAGGTGATAAATTAAGTCTATCATCTATTCGTATAGTTCGAGTACTTCGTCCATTATGCGCCATTAATCATATACCATCGATGCGTATTCTTGTTATGCTTCTATTTGATGCATTGTTTATGCTTGGCAATGTACTTCTTCTCTATTTTATTATTCTCTTTATCTTTGGTGTTATTGGTGTACAATTATGGAAAGGATTATTACGTAATCGTTGTTTTTTACAATTGAATACCACAATTATAGATAATTATGCATTATTCGAGTATGTTTATCGAAAACTAAATATTTCATTTTTTTTTATTTTCTTTTCTTTTAAGTGATTTCCGATTCCAATCTTTTTATATTCCTTCTGATCAAGATTCATTTATTTGTTCTGATCCATCATCAAGGGGAATGACAAAATGTTCAGAAATTCCACAATTACGTCGAGATAATATAACATGTGAACTTGGTTTTCATTCATTGAATACATTATTAACAAATAAAACAATAAATGGATGTATTAATTGGAATCAATATTATCAATTATGTGCTATTTCTAATCAAAATCCATTTTCTGGATCAATTAGTTTCGATAATATTGTTTTAGCATGGCTTGCTATTTTTCAAGTTGGTTTATTATTTATTCGTTAAATATTTCTATGTTTACTTTTTCTATTTAATTAGATAATTACTTTTGAAGGTTGGGTTAATATAATGTATTATGTACAGGATGCACATTCATTTTGGGATTGGATTTATTTTGTATGTCTTATTGTTATTGGTTCATTTTTTATGATGAATCTTTGTCTTGTTGTTATTTTTGCACAATATCGTGTAACAAAAAAACGTGAAACAGAACGAATGTTAGCTGAACGAAAACGTTTTTCATGTCCAACAACTACAAAAACAAGTGATCAACAAGGTTCTTGTTGGGAAGAAATAATTAAATATTTTCAACAATTATCGAAACGTGCATTTAAACGATTCAAATTATTCAAGACAAATTATCAACAAAAACATGATAAAGTAAGTATAACACAAAACTGCATAAAATTAATCAGACTAACAACTTCTAATTGAAGATCGAAATGTTAGTTTTCAAAGAATAAATCCTAGTCAGTCGATTAAAGATTAATCGATCGGATTATGTGAACAATAAATTGGCAATATGAATTTAAGTATTTGTTATAGTTTCATAAGTCTACAATACTGAATATTTCTAGATCATAGATACAGAATACAAAGATAAGGAGAAATTTTCACTTGAGAGATAGCATCGAATTTCATTCGGTCGTATTTCAGAGATCCACTCTGAGTCGTCGGCAAGTCACTAGAGATTGTGAATGGTACTTTTTTTGCATCCTATCTGGTTGATGGAAACTGATAAATTTCTCAATACTAACTAGAGGACGCCTTTCTCTTCCACTACCGCTGATTGACAATTGAAGTAGTAATCAGATCGATTAGAAAATCGTTTCAACGGTATCAATCAAAGGCTGAAACGAACCGAAGTTTTCGAGTTCGAGTTCTTTTCTGTTAGAACCTTTCAAAAGTGGTTCAGATATGCTTCGATTCCCTTTCGGTCTTTGGTATAGATTGTCGAAAAGCAATCAAGTTCACTAGGAAATATACTCTATTGAATTCCAGTACATTCAGAGAAATAGTGCTATCGACAAAATTGTGTTCAATTCCAAAAACCATTTGGTTTTGATTAATATTTGTATGAATAAAAGAAGTAAAATTAAATGATTGTTTTTCTACAGGTTAATCGAAGACATGATCGAAAAGTAACAACCACAGAAAAGCTATTAACACCAAATGCATTACCTTCATCTAATGCCCATATAGTTCCGTCAACAACACTAATTAGTCAAAAACATCTACCAAATTGTCAATATCATAAATCCCAATCATTATTAGTATCAACGCCATTATTAAAATGGATTGACCATGGCACTGGTACTTGTGAGATTTGTCCAGATGTAATTGCTCCAACATCAGCAAATAATAATTCACTTATTGAAAAAGATCGACAAAAAAATGAGAATCTTGATTTTGAACAACAAATAGAAAGAAATGATATATGTAATTGTTATTATCAAGATGAAATTGTTAATACATCCAACAATAATCAAGAAGAAGAAGAAGAGAAATCAAAATTTCGTCAAAGATGTGAAATATGTTGTTGTTGTTGTTGTTGTTCATGTTTTACAATAATACAAAAATCAATTTCACGTATTGTTGCCAGTAAATATTTTGATTACATTATTTTCTCAGTTATTATTATAAATACACTTTCAATGGCTATTGAATATCATGGACAGCCACAATTATTAACAAATATATTGGAATATAGCAATTATTTTTTTATAATACTATTTACAATTGAAATGTTATTTAAAATAATTGCTAAAGGTTGTTTAAATTATATTAAAATTCCATTTAATATATTTGATGGTGGAATAGTTTTAATTAGTCTCACTGAATTATATAAAACAAAAAATAGTGGCTTATCTGTTTTACGTACATTTAGATTATTACGTATATTTAAACTTGTCCGATTTATGCCAAGATTAAGACAAAAATTGGTGAGTTAGATTATAGTTTAATACCCAGATCGATTAAAACAAAGTTCGTAACGGCGCCGCTTACGACAGTAAACAGTATGCATAGAGTGTAATCGCGATCGTTTATGGTGAAAATATGTCCCGTTACGACGCTGTTTTGTCCCGTTATAACACGAGTAGTCATACGGTCGTATATGTCCTTACCGTATACAGTGAGATTAATGGTCGTAAACGATGCTTTAAGAGGATATCCATGAGACCATCAAGGAATTTTTAAAGGACCCATACTCCCGAAAATGTTGACCCCCTCCTTTTATTTGTGGAATTGATAGCCCATGAGGTGAAACTACTATACCCAAAATATTAGCTCGATTGGTCACATAACAAAAAAGTTATGAGGACCATATTGATGACTACACAATGGTCAAATCAGAATTGATACTGCGTAGTAATCAAGCAAAAATTAATATTTTGAGAAATTATATCTTAAGGTTAGTTGATCCCAGAAATTTGGATCGTGCATTGAATGGGACAATAAAATGCTAGAAAACTAGTCTAAAACAAAAACTTTTTAATCCGTAAAAAAAAATTTTTTTTGGGAGTATCGGGTTTCTCGATCCTGTCGTGGACTCTCTCTTAAGTGAGCTGTATATGGATCGTATTTTTATCATCAACGGCGGTATTTACATCATTTTCTCGAAGTTTATTTCTACTTACGGTCAATTTTCTCTTATTCAATTTATTGTGGTACCTGGCTATAGCATGCTGGTACCTTGCAATCCATGCCTCCTGCTATTTTCTATTTTTTCACCTGCTTTATATTTTTGCCAAAATGAATGTTTGACAAAATAGAGAGCACAACAAAGTACGAAAAGAATAATAACGTACAAAAAATTGTCTGCTGAATGCCAAGAAGAAGAAAAGAAAAATCTTGACAAACAATTTGGGAAACGAAAAATCTTTGGTTACTTACCCAACACGAATAATACGAGAAAGGGCAATAAAAATACACGTGTCTTCGCATATAATTGGTAACAGCAGCAATTCTAGATGCCATGAAGCTTTTCACAAAGACGTCATTACATGAGATGCATAGTAACATCGATGAAAGCTCATCGAGAGCTATCGATTGATATGAAAATTGACTAGAAAAGATTTATAGAAGCCTCAAATTAACAAAAAAGAAAAAGAAATCTCCCGTCAGGATAAGCTCGAAAATGAAAACAATGATTCTCACGTCCACTTCAATCTATGGCTCCATCAGATCCTGATAGTAAGGATGTTTGTACTCTGAAAGTTTCCAAAATCTGGAGTGTCTCACGGTTGCAAACATACTTTTACATGCATACGTTTTTATATAACAATGCAAAAACGGAACGTAAACGGTCACTGTTATGGCACTGTATGTGGTACTCTGTAAACGACTCCGTAATTCATCTGCAACTTGTCGGAAATGGACGTTTGTATACGATAAGCCAAGGAGTCGCTATGAGTATATCCATTTTCACTCGTTTACTGTAGTTTACGGATCGTTTTGTTCGACCTGGATAGCTTATTTTAAAAAAGTTGGTAGCGCAATTCTTTGGGGAATTAAAAATATGAAACACGATGTAGCTGCTATAGTCGATGTTCTAAAGGGAGGCTGGAATTTCGGCCCACGAATTTATTCGTCCTGGACTCTCGGCCCGGTTCGAAATTCCGGTGGTTTTTCGTCCCGAGCCGAAAGTCCGAAAGGAAATTCGGACCGAACTTTACTTTATCTAATTAATTTTGTAAATAATTAGTAAACTTCATGGTGCTCAGCACTATGCACTTTCAATAAAACGTTGTGCTTGGCTGTATGACACAGTACTTAGTCAAATAGTCTAGTATTGAGCACTATGCATATTGATATAATAAATTCTTTTGGTAATTCGGATTTTGGTCGAAATACAAGCTAAGTATTCTGTGGACGAAGCTGGTGCAATATTTAAGAAATGGATACAGAACTCAGCAATACGAATTCAGGTGACATGATAATTATAATGTTCAGCTGTATCTGTGTATTTCTTTGTCTATTTTATTTAGGAGAAATACTACTAAGCATCATGTCATCATGCTGAGCACTATGTTGTACTGTTCGACATTACGCCATCTTGCCGAACACCGTGTCATACTGCCAAGTACAACCTTTTATTGAAAGTGCATAGTGCTGAGCACCATGAAGTTTACTACTTATTTACAAAATTAATTAGATAACTTAAAGTTCGGTCCGAATTTCCTTTCGAACTCTCCGCCTGGGACGAAAAATCACTGGAATTTCGAACCGGGCGAAAGTTCGGAACGAAAAATTCCTGGGCCGAAATTCATATAACCCGTTCTAAAAGCTGTTGCTTTTTATGCATATTGGAATGTATTTCTTCATGATGGTTTACCTTACATTATACACTTTGAACCGGATAATATTCCATATATGCTCCAATCATATGTTAGTTATACATTATCTGTGATATTTGCTTGACGTCTTCTGTCACAGTTTATAATGACTCCTGGGCTTTATATATCACGGTCTGTGATGGGTCCAGAACCCTGTTTGTCACGGTCTGTGATGGGTCCAAAGCTCTGTCTCTCACGGTCTATGTTGGATTCAAAACCTGTCTTTCACGGTCTGTGATGGAAAGGGGAGGTCCAAATTTCTATCCCTAAACACTTCAACACTCCTTTCAGATCGTGTTTCACAAAAGATCACTCTTGCTTAAATATTAATAAAATAATGAATGAAAGACGAGCAAAGGAAATTTTCATAGTACATCAGTCGAACGTTTTGTTGTTGCCGCGTTAGATTAAGAATTTAGCTCTAAGCGGATATCTGACGAAGTCTTCAATGATTAATTTGATCAGACTGTTCACCAGATTTGACAACAGCTAATCAAAAAACCTTCACAACTAAAGTGAAAAAGATTTGAGCATATCTCATTAGGAAATCAAAATATGAACTACGATGGAGCTGCTGAAATAATGGATAAGAGTTCTTGTATTTGAGAAGAAGGTGATTCAAATTTCAGGATATATATACTACAATGCTTCTTTCTATATTTTATCGTTTGTTATCTAGATTTTCATGGTTAAAACACTAGACAATGTTGGAGCATTTTTTTTATTATTAATTCTCTTCATGTTCATTTTCAGGTAAGTCCATAGAAAAATAAATATTTTTATATTCTTCCTCTTTCTCGTCTTAACTACTTTGGAAATGAATTTTTTTCGTTGTAAATTTCTCAAGTATATCTAAGTAGAACACAGCAAACAACTCCTTGAAACAAACTATAGGTATATAACCATTTTTTTGTCATCATTCACAGATACACGTTATTTTACTGTTTTTTTTTCTTTTGTTTTCTCTTCTAAAGGTGTGTCAAATTCCTATCTCGGCGTATCAAAAAAGTTGACCCTAATTTTATCAGCGCTAGAATCAGCATTGAAGCCTGATTCTTTTTCACGAGTTTATTTTACACTTTCTCATGATTCGATTTTTCGACCCTGGGGTCCCCCCAGGGATCGAAAAAATTTTTTATCCAAAATCCTTTAGAAGTCCTTACAGTTTTATAGAACTAAGTGTACTGATTGCAAATATCATATTTTTTTTTAAAGATTAAGAGGGAAATAAGACAGATCTGAAGTACTTTACGCGAGGCCTAAAAAACCAGTTTTTGACCTATAGCTTCATGGAAATCTCATTTAGATTAATTGAAAATAGACTCATTCG